GAAACTTGTGAAGCAGGCCCAGAAGAAAGAAGGTGAAGAAACAAATCAAATGTAGCTGATGTCAGTGGGAAAACCAAATCTCCTCTTGGGAATTGTGGTCTTGAAGCTTGATTCACACTTCTTGTAGACTTGGAGCTTGGAGACTTGCACTGCAGGGAAGGAGCCTTGTGATAAGACATTTCTCTATTTATTTTTAAAATAAAATAAAGTTATTACCTAATCCAAAACCCTTCCTGGAACTGGCATGAGTTTTTGTTTAAAACTGTATACAGCATAGCCACATTTAGCTTTTCAGTGCAGGATGTAAAGAAAGATAAAATACCAAAGGAAATTCCAGTCAGGCACAGCTGGTAGGAAAACCAGCATAGCACAGAGTTCACAACCTCAAAAACTAGAGCTGTGACAAAACACACGACTGGATATCGCCTTCATTTTGCATGCTCCACACACACTTCAAAGCAGCATGATAGCAATCGCTTCTGCCCACAAGTAGAATGAAGATGGTGATATTTAGTTTCTTAAAGCCTAGCTAATTAGCTCCTGATAACAGCGTGACCCTTCTTCGCTGTGCAGTAAGTTACTCATGTCAGAGGGCACAATATATTATTAAATGTTTGGAGAGAGGCTTCAGAAGGTCTGTGGGTCAGTTTTGAAGGCTTTCCAAGAACTGTGATAGAATAAAACCTTAGAATAGCTACTATACATATATAAATCCACTATCCACTCCATCAGTGAAATGCAGAATAGTTTAGACACCGGCATCCCAAAGCAAGTGTCTTCCAGACTTATTACTCAAGAATCATAAAATGTCTTTTCTTCCTTCAAGGAGAAGCTCTTCCCCCACTAAACAAACTTTATTTTTTTTTAACCAGAGCTTGGGCAGACACACATTCCACTAAATGCTAAAAGCCCCAACAAAAATAAGTTACCCCTCTTTCCAAGAGAAAGGAATTGCTTCCTTCGCTCTACTTACGGAGGATACGCATATCCTAAACTCAACAAACTGCAGACATATTATGCAACGGAGTAACATGATGGAAAGCACAGCAACAACAGCAGAGTAAAGAAGTCCTAGACTGCAGCAAGCAAGGACTTGCTCAAATACAACAGCCACAGGAGCAGAAACAAAGGAAAGGCTTACCTTTAGAAGGCCTCATGTACACAGGAATCTCCAGCAAGAACCCCCTGCCTCCACTGCCAACCCTTAAATAAGCTCTGGGAAGGGGTGGATCCTGGTGCCAGCCCTTCTGGTCAATCAGATTAATTGCATGCACCTGAGCTCCCTTGGGTTGGCCCTGCCTTCCCACCAGGTGCTCAATCACTGCTTCAGGCTGTGACTTAGCATTGCCACTACACTATAACACAGCCCACACAACTTGTACCCCAAGGGTAGTCAGGGATTTTAGGCTCCATTTTTCAGTTATTACACTCCTCAGCTCAACCAAATTGAAGTGACAAAAACAAAGTATTTTTCTTATCTTCTCAAATATCAGCTCTTTGGGTTGCTTGCTCAGGAACGCATTTTCTCTGGCTCTTTGTGTGACAAAGAAGGATCCATTTTCTACTCAAATGCTACGTAAACACTACAATTTTTCAAGTTGATCTCCTTCACATAAGCAATAGTGCTTATTAACTGCCTCATTAATTTAAGAAGTGCTTTCAGTTCAAAGTTTATTGTCTATAATGTTTATGCCTATCTGAAAAAGCAAAGTTCGCTTTTAAACAACAGTAGATAGCATCATAGAATTGTTTGAGTTGAAAGGGACGTTTAAAGGTCACCCAGTCCAACTCCTCTGCAATGAACAGGGACATCTACAGCTAGATCAGATCAATAAAGTCTATTACATTATTTAACTTAGAAGGTTTTCTCTGGTCTATTCTTTCATCATTCAGGAACATCACTGATCTACTGAATGAGGGCTAATGTTACTACTGCATCTTTTGCACGTTTCTGACAGAACAAAAAAATAGCAATGAGGTGAACCCATATAGGCTACATCACACGTAACAAGAATACAATTATAAAAGGGCAGAATTTACCTACTTCTTTTGCAAGTTCACAAAGGTTTTCTAAGAAGCCAAAGCAAGAAGGGAGATCAATACCTATATGAACTCTAGCTATAACCCTTAAGATAACCCTACTTCCTACCAGCTAGGATGATATTGCAAACATCCTAATATACCTTTCTACAACTACGACTTCTTAACACCTACACCTTTGTGAGAGTGGTGCTCAGCTAATTCAGGTTCTTGAAAGCTGTGAAGCATTTATTTAAGAAATCCTTTGTTTGCCACTGTGTGTTATACCTGTTACCTTGATCTGCTCAGACCATAGGAACTTCCAATGCCCCACTTCTGCACTATCCCATTATGGAAGGACCAGCTCTCTCCCAGCACTTTGCTACACTGGGTGTGAGAAAGTTTACTTTTTTATTTGCCTGGACTAATAGGTCCAGCCACAGCTGATCAACAGCTCCTGGCCTCTGAGTCTAACAGTCAGTACAAATCAACTCAAGCACATTTCACGCCACTAATGCTGATCTGTTAGGAACATTTTCGGTTAATGACTGAGTTAAGGTGGATTTCAGCTGAAAACCTGTGGAGGAAACACTGAGTATATCAGTATGCCAGATATCCAACTAACAGAAGACAGGCTGGCACAGGTATGCATAAGAAGACTTTGCTACAGAGCAACATCTTAGATTGGCAATTCCTTGTTGAACATGGTAGTTTGAAGTTTCACATCAAAAAAGACCTGGAGAAAAAAATACTTGTGTCCCCTAGTGAGACATCATCTCCAGGCTGAGTCATGATCTCTGTTCATGAGACTCTCTATTCCCTCTCCCTTTTGACACCCAACAATTACTGGACTTGACATAAAGGTCTTGGAGGGGTGTGGTGTCTCTCAAGTGCTCCAAGACTCATGCTGAAGGAGCTGAATTTCCTGGTAGGGAAGGCCCACTCATCAGCCACAGCTTCTCTCTCTCTGTCACATCATCTTGCATACACATGACTAACACTGTGTGACCCCAGGCAAATGCACGCTAAGGACAGTCACGTATAGGGAGAAGTAAGCTGAGAGCTCTGCATCTTATTCAAGCTTGTCCTGCACTCTAATGCCAACACAGAAAAGTTGGATGAACACCATACATGCCCCTGATGGGCAGACATGCTTAACTGGCACCTGGACTCTTCCTGAGAAGAAAACAGCACATGAGTTTTAAATAACCTAGTCAGAAACCAAACCTCAAGGGCATTCATATCAGACATGAATAATTTGACAGTTTATTTGCAAGAGACTGAAAGTCTCAAAAGCGAATAAAGAGCTTTGGGATGGGAGGTCAATGGTGTCTCTTGCTGCATGTTCAAAGCTTCTGGTCGGATCCTGCAGTTTGGCTTTACAGACAGTTGTACCATCAAGCACAGCAAGACAGAAGAATACAGAGAACCATAGCTCTTCCAAAAGGAGTTACTTGTAATTGCCCTGCTATTGAAACCAAGTCCAACATACTTACTCCTGGAGAAGAACACCTTTGCACAGAAGTAACTGCTGCTGCAGGCATAATAGGACTAATAATGTCTTAGCTCAGGAACACAGACAAAACTTGTAGATTACTTATTTAACAGGAAAAAAATAAAGAAAAGCACGTAATGAGATCCTTCTGCTCAATACCTTCATCATTTTTTTCTTGCAGTAGAAAGATAGCAAAGAATACCTCTGAGGAAAGAATTCCTTTCATAGGGCCATTCTCACTTGAATATACTTGTACAGTCTTTGTATTTGGAGAAGATGAACACCAGGGACATTTTGACCAATTCAGAAGAAATTTCATTTCAACTTGTCTTACCCACAGAGCTTTACTTGAACACTTTTTCTCCAGGTAACCCACCACTTTCTCATTTATTCACTTGCATTTTCCAAGGCCATGTGCAATTTTCCAGCAAGATAATGCTTTAAATTACATTCCCTGTAGTAAGCACACTCAACATTGTTCCGAAGAAAGCAAGCACTGAAGAGAACATGGCCCTTTCCAGCTAGAGCAATGACTTATGAACACTGGAAATCATGAAAAAGAACATAAACAGTGACCCAAAATGGGATGTTTAGCCAAATCAATTTGTAACAAAGCCCAAATGTCACAGTGTCCTCGGGTAAGTAGAGACCACTGAACTGGTGCCTTTATGTCATGCTGGCAGCATGGTGAGGTGGTGATATTAGCACTGGGCATCACTGGGGGGTTTTGCTAGATTACTCTGGTGGTTTGCAGTCTCAGAGGAAGTCTGCTGCTAACCACATAACATGAGAGCAGGAGAGCTGCAAGTTGAGGACAGTTTATGACAGTGAAAGTATGGCAACCTGTATCCCTCGTCTGTACTGAAAGTTGTTTGTACCAGAGGTCAGGAAGGATAGACTTCCTCCTCTGTGCCATTTACTGGTACGGCAGACAGCCATACAAAAGAGAAGGCATTAACATAGAGAGGTGGAAATCAAAATCAGACTCACCCTGTGACCATGCCCACATGATGAATGGAGAGGCAGGGACCAGACCAAGCTGTCACTTAACGCAGAGCGTGCTGTTTCACCACAAAGTCCTTTAAGGCTGTGGTAACAAAGCACAGTCCCAAACTGGAACAGCATCTAGAAGGCCAGCAGCATGTTTTCACTTTCTTCTTTACTTTTCACTTCTTTAGGTACTGGAACAGGCTGCCCAGGGAGGTTGTGGATGCCCCGTCTTGGAGGTGTTCAAAGCCAGGTTGGATGGGGCCCTGGGCAGCCTGGTCTAGCATTAGGTGGGATGGTTGGTGGCCCTGCGTGTGGAAGGGGGGTTGGAGATTCATGATCCTTGAGGTCCCTTCCAACCCTGGCAATTCTGTGATTCTCTGCTGCGGCATCTATTTCTGTCCTATTCTCTGCAAAAGCAACAACAACACGTTGTTCTTAATGTCCAGCTTTTTATTATTTTTTACAACCACGCTTTTTCCCTACTAGAAAAACACGCTATGAAAAATATCACACTGCATTTCCTGACCTCGGGGACAGGCGAAGCCTGGGACAACCTGTGTCACGCCCGGCTGTGAGGCAGCCACGCATGTCCCCGGTCAGGCAGTGCCACCATTTAGCCGTGCCTCTGCTGCCATCTGCTGGCGCACGGTGGAGGTGCGGCATTCCTGACCCAAAGAGGAATTCTGGTTAACTTTACGGCAGGTTCGCACTACAGAAACACCTGAATTGTAGGAATTGTCTCGGCGGGTTGTTCTATTAACCCAACTGTCATCGTGATGACCGTTGTTTGACGCCGTTTGCTTTTCAGGCAGGGTTCCAGGCGCGCTCACCCTGCGGCGAGCCGAAAGGATTGCTTTCCACACGATTTCCAAACCGCGTTTAAGGAAAAAATGCAAATACTTCTATCATAATCCCGTTGTAAACGGGATGGATTAGCAGGAATTCACAACTTAATCATACCGCTGGGGATTGCGTGCCACGCTCCGGGAAACGCTTCTTTATTACAACGCAGCGAGGACGGGCGCAGCGCCTCGCCGCCGTCCCCGCGCCGGGCACCTCCGTCCCCGCACTGCCCCCCGCCACACCCCGGCGCAAGATGGCGGCGCGGCTGCTTCGCCTGCGCGGGCTCCTGCGGACCGCCGGCCGGAGGGCTTTCTCCTCACAGCCCAGGTCGGCGGGCGCGCGGCGGCGGCGCGAGGGGAGCGGGGCGGCGCTGCGGGGCGGCGCTGGGGGTGGCGGGGCGCGCGTTTGGCGCGGCGTGGGTGCGTTGTTGGGGCTGATGGCGGGGTACGTCGATGCACGGGTGTGTTTCCTATGTGTCTGTGCGGGCGTGCGGAAGCGCTGAGTGCGTGTGCATAAATACGTGCATCTAGTGCTCAGCGTGCGTGTGACGGGAAGGCTGCAGGCCTGAGTACAAACGCGTGATCACACGCACACGCGCGTGTGTGCGTGCATACGTCTGCGCCCCTGCTTGCACGGAGGCAGCTCGGGTCCAACCCCCAATTCTGCGCCCAGCGGTTCAGCCATCGCCTTGCGGGCTGCCCTTTGCCCCATTTCCTGGCCGTAGGCGATGACGCAGAGTGCTGTGCTGACAGCGGGTGACAGCGGGGCCTGTCCTTGTCCGCACTGCTGCACCAAGGGGTTGTAGGGCCCCAGTGCCCTTGTTCCACCCTTGGACCGTGCCGGCGTGGGGTGCTGGGAGAGCAGCGGCCTTCTGCTGCGTGTCCAGCCGGCCCTGCGCCCTGCTTGAGCAACGGCAGTCTTCGATGTAGCCGAGTACAGCCGTAAGTAGCTTTACAAAAAACCCATGCTTGCTAGGCAGGTGTTTTCCCTTCCTTCTCAAAGGGCTGTAAAATAGGGCGTGCCTGCGTCCAAGCAGATGTTCGCTTCTCTTTCTCAGTCCTGTGCCAACCGAGCAGCACGGCACGAAGCGCCCGGAGCCTTCTTCTGCTAAGCGTCTGACTGACATCGGCACCCGGAGGATCTTCTCGTCCGACCACGATATCTTCAGGGAGAGCGCCAGGAAGTTCTTTCAGGAGGAAGTGCTGCCTTTTCATGCAGAGTGAGACGCCTTTTAAACATTCTGGTTTTCTAGATAATTTGCTCCCCCCCCCATCCCCCTCCCATAAGCATTTTCAGGTATTATTCACTATGATATAATAAACAAGACGTTTGTTTTCAATAACAGGACTCGATTGAAACAAACCTGCCTAGAAAATGCATCAAAATTCACGGATCGCTCTGAGCTGGCGCCTTTGTTGCAGGCTTGTGAGCAGGACAAATGCAGTTCATAGAGTTGCAGCCAGTGTTTCCCTGCGTGTGCACTCTCCCGCTGAAGTGGAGGGGGTACATTTTCCGTTGTCTTTTATTAAAAAGACTTCTGGTGTTGCTTTATGATCAGATATTGCATCTGCTTAAGGTTAATCATGTTCTTGTTTGCTGACACAACTGTTTCTTCAGATGACTGAAACAAGTTGGACTTGGGTTCTTGCATCACTGCAGAGACCTATGAACCATTCTGTTTTCACACCTTTCAAATAAACAAGCAGGCTTCGGGCATAATGTACCAGTTGGCTGGGCCAGCGTGTGGCATCAGTAAACATGGATGAGCATGAGGAGAAAATGCTTTTCTGATTGAGACAGCAGTGATCCTGAAAGTAGGGGGCAAAAGACCCCCTACAAAGGTGGTCTTTGGAGAACATTGGTTAAGGTTTCCAGTGCAGGAGCAGAAGCTCTGGGAGTAAACCTAATGCAAGTGTGACAAGATGCATTATTAACTGTGGATAAAGTGCTGTGGTATAGCTCTGCTGCACACCAGTGCATCTGAGGAGTCTTTCTGACCCAATTTGTCAATCAAATTATTAAAAAATGGCCATTAATGGCCACTCTACTTTCTGATGTGTTGGTGAACTCAGGGTACTATTTGTTAGGGAAGAAGTGATTCTTACGTCTGCAAACTATCAGCAAACAGTCTGCAAACTATCAGCAGACAAGCCTTAGCTGTCTATTCACAAACTTAAAATCACCTTAATTCAGCAGTAGTTTACCAAGGTACAGTACTAAGTGAAAAGGGACTGTTTTTTTAATATATATATATATATATATTATTCTATATATTTTTGTATTTTATATCAAGGTTACTAATGTATCGGTGCTTTTTTTTCTTAAAAAGCATTTCTCATTGGTAGAATCAAAATCTTTCAGAAATTGATATGTTTATACCCATTTTATGGGAAAATGAGATGTCAGGAAGGTGAGAATCTACTTGTAATTATCCAGATGGTTATGACTAAACCTCCGAGATCCTGCTCTGGTGCTCAGACCAAGACATAGCACAGCCTTTCGTAACAAGTCATAAAGAATCATCAGGTTTATATGTTGCAAGACAGGATTCAGATGTGTTATATAGTTGGGATCTGTGTAATGCCAGTGGCATTTGTAAAGAATGGAAAACCTGTTATTAAGCCATCAATTCTTAGCTGGGAAACGTAGTTGTCTCAGCACGCTGTATGCTGTGTTGTGTGCTGCTGAGACTGAAAGCTTCTCTACCAGGCAGTGAAAACTTGCTGTGGGCCCTCTAGCATAAAGCAGCAGCCGTGAAAAATGAGAGATAGCACGTGGAGAATTTAATGGATATCTCTGTTCTTATGTTGTTTACAGGTGGGAGAAGGATGGCCAGGTGAGCAGAGAGCTCTGGGAAAAAGCTGGACAGCAAGGTTTGCTGGGTGTTGCTATTGCTGAGAAACATGGAGGCATTGGAGCGGATATTCTCTCCTCAGCCGTGCTCTGGGAGGAGCAGTAAGTACTAGGCAATTCAGGAAGAGTTGAATTCAAGTTGTCAATAGACTGTTCTTTTGTTTGTTTGTTTTGTTTTTCATAAGATTTCTTCATTGCTTACAGAAATTGGCAACAGTAATTAAAACATGTATAAATCCCTTCAGCTTTATGCCTTTCAGGTGATTGTTTACGTAATAAATGTCATCGTGCTCTACTGTAGTTGAGGGAAGCATTTTGATTAGTCTGGTAGGTTACACAGTAATTTGGCTGTGAAAATACATTCTGTAAATAACAGTGCAAGTGCTACAAGTTCACCTTATATCCAAGACGTCTGTGCTGTAGGGCTTGCTTCCAGTGTTGGATCTGCATTGTAAAGGCGTGAAGTTCAATGTTTAAATTTCTGTAGTGTTTCTGCCTGAGCTGTTTTGGTTTTTTTCCCACTCCCCAGGATGTACGTCAACTGTACTGGCCCAGGATTTAGCCTTCATTCCGATATAGTCATGCCCTACATTGCAAATTATGGCACTGAAGAACAGATCAAACACTTTATTCCTCGGATGGCTGCAGGCAAGTGTATTGGTGCTATTGCCATGACAGAGCCTGGGGCTGGCAGGTAAGCTAAAAATAAAGACAGATGGTTATAATCTTACTTGCTGTCTACTGATCTCAGTGGAAGAAATTAATGAGCATCCTGGTTATGTGGACATCCTAATAACTAGTCAATATCCTAGACTGGGGAGGGCCTCAGACTTGCAGATCACTCTGTTATAGCTTCGCCAATTCAAAATACTTGCTCAGACTCAGTTTCCTTATTGTTTCACAATAGACAAATATGTTTTGTGTTTTCTTTTATGGACTGAGCTTATGGTTAATAATCTGCTTGTCCTGTGAATATACCTTTAATATGAAATGTAATCAGGAGGAAGTTGCATCAGATTGCTTTACTTCATTGGTATTAATTTTTGTTGTGGAACAAAAAGCTGGGTTTTTTGTTGTTGTTGTTTTTTTCCCCTCTGAATCCTTTCAAACAGATAAATGTTGCTCCTTTACTGTCATTGTTGAAGGACAGACAGCACAAATTTTGAGTAGACACAGGTGATCTGGCCAGTTTCCACAACAGAGAGGAACAGGTGAAGAGCAAAACCTTTTGGTGTTGTGCTTCCACAAAGAGTGGATGTTGGCCATGTATTTTTGCAGAGCCTCCTCATTAAGACTGAGCATGTCCAGAAGATGTTTTGTCTAACATTTGCCTTCTAAAGCATATCAGCGTAAGGGGATGCTGATGTTCTGCTATCAGTACTTCATCACACCACCTCCCACAGGCAGATCCGTTAAAGTGGGACCTCATGCTCATGTATGATTGCACACATTTATCATTTCTTTCTGCAGCAGGCTTTTGGTTTCTGTGTTACTGCAAACCATTTTACTGTGTACCATTATCCTCCTGTGCATTTTCACTGACTGCATGTCTCGATGGTGTGAAGTCTACTTTCTGTTGGGTAGCACTCAAGATACAAATTACAGCATCTGGAACAGTTCCTTGAAGGGTCTTTTGAATTCCATTCTAGTGACTTGCAAGGAGTACGGACTTATGCAAAAAAAGATGGAAGTGACTGGATTCTTAATGGGAGTAAGGTAAGCAAGTACATGTGTATGTCACTCGTAGCCATTCAGAGCTGGAGGCACTCAGGGAGAGATGTATACCAAAATCAGTGTCTCCCACTTGTCCTTTCTTTTCTTTTTTTGCCAGTTTTTTTTTTTTTTTTTTTTTTTTTTTTATATAGACTTATTCCTGTTTTTGACTATTTATGGGAAACAGGTTCTTTTTATAATACTTAAATAATCTTATCTAAAGACTTTCTTTTTACATGAACTGGAAGAAGTCCTATATTGTAAAAGTAGAACCAGTTTCTTACTGCTGAAATTGAACACTAAAGTATGTATGCTACCAGTGTTAAACTTTATGTGGCCTGAGAAAAGGTGTGCTGCAGTGCAGGCTGTGAAATCTGTTCAGGAGCTTGTATTAGGAGAATGACATTAGATGCTGTGTGTATGCTTTCAAGCTATTACAGAGTTGGTGTGTACAAGTAAATTTGTAGATACAGATGTCTGTAAATGTATTTGCTCATTACATGTGGTTGAAGTCAAGCAGGAGACATTGCTTATTTCTTTTGGTGGTGTTAGGATGAGTCATTTTGACAAGTGGATAAATCACTCTGCAGAACTCTTTTAAGCAGTTGTTAGTAGAGGTCATCAGTGGTTTTGCATTTTATACCTTGCTAGTTTATTATCAAAGAGAACCTTTTTTCATTTGATGTCTACATCTGATATCCTTCCTTCCTTAGCAGGGGGCAGACAAAAGAAAAAAGATCTGTGCATTTTTTCACTTCACAATTGTCACCACACAATGCCTCTCAAATTATGTAATTTCCTCTTAGCACTTAAGACTTCCTGAATTATTAAAATGCTTCTGGACACTTAAACCTTGCCTTTCAGTTTACCTGTGAAAGCATCCACACGCTGTTGTTTTTCTTTGTACTGCTTGATGATCTGTTCTAATTTCTATCCACCTAGCTTGTTGCAGTATTCCAAGCTCTGTTGGTTTTTGTTTGTTTGTTTTTACAGACCTTCATCACTAATGGTTGGATGTGTGACGTGGTGATTGTGGTTACGGTTACAAACCGAGAGGCTCGATCTCCTGCTCATGGAATCAGCCTTTTTCTGGTGGAAAATGGAACAAAAGGTTTCACCAAAGGACGCAAGCTGCAAAAAATTGGCCTGAAAGCTCAAGTAAGTTCATGTGACCTGTAATTCATAGTAGACTTTGAGGAAGTCTGAAATTGCTCAATGCCTGGCACTAGCCTAATAAAGAGAAAATGAAACCGTTGTATTATTTTAATACTTAAGCCTTAGAGCATAAAAATTACACATACAAAGTATGTATATTGAGTTTTCGTTTGGAAGTCTGAAGTACATGATGTGCAAGGAGAAGCTGGCAGCTGGATTCCTTCACTCTTCCAAAAAAGCTTGGAAGAATGGGATTGTATTTCTGTCTTCAGCTACCTGTAGAAATGGAGCAGCACAGTTGAAGGGTGGCAAGGGACACAATTTAAATTGAGGAAACTCTTAAGTTGGTTATTAAGAAAAACCACCATAAGAGTGAATAATGCTGGAACCAGGGTCTCAGATCAGTTGTAGGGCCTCCCACTTGGAAGCATCAGGAAGTGAAACCGGACAAGACCTTCAGCTGCTGATGGTGCTTTGAGTGCTTTGTCCAATCTTTGAGGGGATGGACAACCTCAGAAGGACCCTCCCAACCTAAATGACTTAACATGACAAAATGAAAAAAACGGGGAAAAAAAGTGGAATGCAGAGGTGAAAACGTCAGACTATAAACTGTCCTTTAAAATCTTCTTAGGACACGGCAGAGCTGTTTTTTGAAGATGTGCGGTTGCCAGCAAGTGCCTTGCTTGGGAAAGAGAACAAAGGTTTCTATTATTTGATGGCAGAGCTCCCTCAGGTAAGAGCAGTGAGAATGTTTGCTGTCTCTGGGAAGAACACGGACACACAATTTTTTTATCACTGCAAGAATGTTGGAGGTGATGGATCTCGGAGAGCTGCGTGTGGCTCAGGGTAGCTCTGAGCAGCATGCTGTTGATACTTCTGCTTTTTACCTGAAGTGTGCTGCTTCCGGTGCTAAAAAGCCAAATTCTTTCAGCATTGGCAACAGTGTTGACATCTCACTTGTTCAAAGTCAGCAACCCAGCTATTGAAGAACCCGAGCTTAGATTAAAGAAGACGTCAGTGCTTTTTTTTTTTGTATATTTCTACCATGGAACCATTTCTCATAGCAGACGGTGTTCAGCTTGGAAGACTTTGCATTTGGCATTCTCTTCAAAGAAAAAAGCAAACACTGCTGTCTTAGCTTTTCTACTTGTTGAAGCATATTAAAGATGTAAGAAATTATTTCCTTATCCATAAAGCAAAGTAAATAAATAGTTACCCAGATACCTTGCTAGTGAAAATAACAAAGATTGACTTGCTGAAGTTTTGGAATGATCTGGGAGGAAGAAGGGGCAACGTGTGTTTTCAGAACCTGACTGTGCTTTGTCCAAACTCTGACTGCCTCATCTGGTAGAGATCATGTTTATTTAATTTTAGGCTGTGAGTAAACGTGAGAAAATAAGAAACCTGATTAAAGGAAATCTGCTGCTGCTTTAAAGAAACAAATGCAATTGCAAGCAGGTTCAATGGGATGCATCAGATATTTTAATAGTGCTAAAAGCAATTGTTTTGTACTTTGTTTATCAACGCGTTTTGTTGAAGAAAGGGAAGAAAAACAGCCAGTGTTCTGATGTAGGTTTTCTTTTTTAAGAAGTATCCTACTGAAATTATTAAATGTAGGATTTTTTTTTTTTTTTTTAAACTGAGCAGTTAAAACTGATAATAAAACAGATTTTGATGTTAAGCTTTCAATCAGTAAGAGTCCTGTGGTTGACACATATCTTTTACTGGGACGATGTTCCACCAGAAGAATTACCAAGAAGCCTTAAAAATGGGCTTTGGACATTGAAACGTTTGGCCCAGTCACTAATTTCAGTAATGCAGTATGTCTGGTTTGATCTCTAATGTGACTTCTGCCTCCCTCCCTTAATGAGCAACACTGAACATCTGTTTCCCAATTGTGTATTTGCATATGTGCATCTAATGAACAGAAGTGTAAGACTCACTACTGGATTCTGTGTTTCTAAAGGAAAGACTGCTGATTGCTGATATGGCTCTTGCCAGCTGTGAATTCATGTTTGAGGAAACAAGGAATTATGTGAGGCAAAGAAAAGCTTTTGGGAAGACAGTTGCACACTTGCAGGTGAGTCTGAACAGGGAGACTTGTAAAGCAGATGCACATTGATGTACATTTGTGTATGTGTAATGTCAAGCAAGAAGAGGTCACTGGACTTTAGTAAAGGACTGCTCTTGGAGGCTTTGTTGTTGCCCTGTGGCTGCTGTTTCTCTTCATTCCCATTGTTTTCAAAAACCACAAATGACAATGCTTGTATTTTAACGATAAGGAATCCTACAGCAGTAATGCTTTTGGAAGGAAAATACGCAGGCAGAAACTACTGGCATTGTGCTGGTCATACTCTTAGGCTTGCATTTTACCATCAGAAGCCACTAATCACAGTATGTTTTCACTGCTTGCATTTCTGTATCTACTTGAAGTCCTGTAGACTGCAGAGGAGCGCGGTGTGTGTGAAGGTATGTCATCCATCTCCCTGCATGTAATGCACTGCAACAGCATGATCTTTATGAGACTGACACCGTGATGGTCCCCAAGCAGTGACCTTGGTGCCTGAATAGCTGCAAAAATGTTTATGTCCAGCTTTATGGGTATTATAATGAGATTCCTCACCTACCAGGTAGATGGGTATTCAAGTGATTGCATTGTAAAACTGTTGGATCATTCTTTGTAAATATGACTTCCCCATGATAGTAGTGGTTAAATTGTATTTTGAGGCATACCTACACTACCTAATTGCTGTCATAAAGCACAGTAACACGGAAAGAAACATTTGCTATTACAATTTTCCTGAAAACCACATAATCTATTAGGCCTGAAACCTACCAGGCACCTGTATGTTTGATTTGTAGGATAGGAATTGCTCGTGTACATTACAGGATGTTAGCTTTTTGATTTTGATACACTTCAGAAAAAAATGGAACTGGAATATTTTTGTTTTTTTTTTCTTTTGAGAGTTCCTTTGTCAAAATCGAATCTTTAATTGTTCTGAGCAGCAGCAGAATTGAGCTCTGTAGGAGCTAGAATGTTAGGTATCCAGGAGCTATGATCTTTATTTCTTTTTGAACTTAACATCTAGGAACAGCGGAATTTAATATGTCCAGTGAGCAGCTATAGCACAAAAGGAATATTTTAAGTTTATTTATGTAGGTGTGGAATGCTCTCTAACTGTAGTAGTTCACTGTGCAGAGACCTCCAAAATAATATTGTTTTTTAGGATAACCCATTCCCAAACACCAGGAGGCCAATAATATTAATAAAGTACAGTATTTTTGGAAAAAAAAAAATCCATCCCTGCATACCTTCTTAGTTCCTTCTCACACTTGAATGTAATCAAAAATCCTTTCTAATTAGGCCTGCCTTGCCTAATTTAATTAGTTGTGCTAAATGTTTACAGAGTTGGGAATCAATTATATTAATTTTGAAGGAAAGCAAAAAGGCCTTTTCTGTAGGTGTCTAGAACTGTGATATCAGGAAAAATTTCTGTTCCTAAGAGGTGATTTTTATCCCCTTCCTACCAGAACTGCCAGCAGGCAGTGATATGCTGCCTTACCTGGCTTTAGGTACCCTTCATAATGGGCTTCACCTGCCAGGCTGCACTGAGTGAAAAGGGGTTGTATTGGACCAGATATACGTAGGCTGCTCCGAATGTAATGCCTGCTGTCTTTTCATGGTAACTACAACAGGTACAGTCAGCCACAGGTCGGACGTGCCTGATCTAAAACATCTCTTTCAATGTGACATAACTCAGCATCAGAAAACTTTCTGATAGTTGGTTTAAAACTTCCTTTGTTTTTGCTCAAAATATTTTGCACATCACTTAAACTCTGAAGAACTGAATGCTCAGCAAATGCAGCCAATGCACAATGACGTGTTACTAACTCTGCTGGAAGCACATTCTCCCACAAGAGAGAAAAGACAGTAGCAGAGCTCCCAGCACCTCCTCCTCTGCACTCTCCAGGAATTTGTTTTCAGGCATTTGGGGGGTTCCCCATGATGTCATGTTTTGAGTTGTTTGGCAAGTTAAAGAGCAGTAATTTTCCTTAATAAGACTGGTAGAGATGTAATTGCATGGAAAACAAACTGCATTTAGATGTAAAGATACAAAGCTGTTTGAAATAGTGATTTCTAACAGAAATGCTTCTAGAAGATGCTTCCCTTTCAACTTCAAACACAGCTTTTAACAGTACTACTTCTGCTCTTTCTTTCCTCTGCTTCCTCTGTCCGCTTCCAAAATAAGACGGTGCAGCACAAGTTGGCAGAAATGAAAACGAACATTTGTGTGGGCCGAGCTTTTTTGGACAACTGTTTGGAGCTGCACTCAGAAAAACGCCTGGACTCCCCCACAGCTTCTATGGCAAAGTACTGGTATGTAGTTAAAGTAATTTGGAAGTGTTACTTATATGATCTTGACAGGAGTCTAGTAATAAAAGCACTGAACTGCTCAGATTTAAACAAAAGATAAAATTACTGTCTGATTAATAACAACATTGTTGGTTTCTAAGAGAGGCCTTTAGCTTTAACTTCAGTGGAGCAATCAACATTGGCCTTAGTTGTTTTGAAAACCAGTGCTGGTTAAAAGATCAGTTTCAAAGCAGTAGCACACTTTTAAAATAGGCTTCCATTAATAATCAGATCAGCTTCAAATACAAGCGAGCATTTCATAGGTATTTGGAAAAAGCAGATTTTAGTATAATAATAAAAAAATAATATATATGTATTTAATCACAAGGATCTAGAACCCTTTTAGTTAACATTATTTAGCTTTAATAGCTGTTTGGCCCAGCCACTTTTTGAAGCTATTTGGTTTCGGGAAGAAATAGTTGGCTACAGCTATTGCTGTAATTGAGACTAAACAGTTCATTCCTTTATTGGCCAGAACTCCTCCTCCCTTCTCCCTCCACACTTGGTGGAGTTATCTGTTAACTGGGGCTTAACCAGGGAAATCTGGAAGACTAAAGGCATCCAAGAGATGTGTCACAAGAATTTGTGATCTGTGTAGTTTTGTTCTGCTCGCAAAGATAGGAGAAAAAGTATGCCAGACATTAAGAAGTAGCTTAAGGAAGACAGAGGTTTTTCAGATTCTAAATTTTGAGAAATAAATGTTGAGGTAATATGTAGAAAATACTGAGGGACTTCAGTGAGAATCTTTACAGTGAAAGGAAGGATTTTGTTCGAATGCTATTTCTGGCACTACTTACCTAGAAGTACCAGGTACGTAAGCAGAGGCATTCTGCTCTGAGGAGGAGGAAACAGCTAGCGTGCCATCTCAGATGTAGACTTACTTCCTCAAAAGATTTTCCAAAGTAAGGAATTTGAAACTCCCCCCACCCACCCGAATATTAGACCACAGTTTGTTGTGGATTTCCCCGTTCCTAAAAGCGTTCCTGTGGCTCTGTTCCATAAATCCCTTAGATGGTTTAGAAGGTGCTTGAATGCAGAATTGCTAATGTTTCAGGAGATACTATTTGTTCTGCTTATAACCTGTTGCGCAGACAGTGACTTGAGTCAGAGGTGTGGTGACTTCAGAATGTAGTGTTAGTATCTCCCTCCTGATACCTTGTGAAAGATCTGTGCTCCTCACTTTGTGATGACCGATTATATTATACAGCTAAGTCCAAAAGTATGTTTGAGGGACAGTTGAAGTAACTCACTGTTGCATATTTAAAATTGATACACTAAGAATTTAACAGGGAGAATAGCATGGAATAAGGGACTCTTGCATTCTTTCATGAAAAGCAGTTGACTTAAATGGTCATCATCTTCTGTTGCCACTCTGAAGTTCTGTTTTGTTGGGGTTGTTTTGCTTTTTTTTTTTTTTTTTCACTTCATTTCTGCTTGAACATTCAGTGCAATTAAAACCCTATGCGTTCTTTTGTCTGATTTTTCTTGACTGAAATAATGTGAAGTGTGTAGCTTTCCAGAGGCTGAGATGCAGGACAACTTCAAACAGCATGTTTTCAGTCATCTTCTAGAGAGATGGTTTAAGAAAGAATGCTTAAGAAAAAAAAAAAAAGTTTAATCATAGAATAAATGAGGAGTTTGCAGTGAGCAGACCTGCTTAAGAATTAAAGTACTTTTGAGAATAGAAAGCAATAAAATATTTTGAGGAAAATAAAGTATTCCGTGATGATGGTTATATTCAAAGAGCCCTGAACAGAAGGGCTTGATAAGAAGGATATACCAACATGCTTTACAAAAGAAGTTTTTTGGCTGGTGAGGAAGGTAAACACGCTTCTTTGTTTTGAAAGCTTCCGTTCTCTGAAAGCTGTTCCACATAGAGAACAAATCATAATGCTTTTCATTTCAGCGCGTTTTTCATCATGGACGAAGAAAAGTCTCTCACAATGGAAGTATTTGAATGGCCAATGCTTTAGATTGGTTATATGGGAGAAAAAAAAACATTGCGGTGTATTTTAGTCTTGTTAGCTTATCTGTATCTGTAAGTTTTTCACAGCATGCACCCTTCTAAAAACAAATTTCTTCTTGACCATTTAAGGGCGTCTGATCTCCAAAACAGCGTAGCAACTCAGTGTGTGCAAATGCACGGAGGCTCGGGGTACATGTGGGAGTATCCAATTGCAAAGTAAGTGCACCGTTTCAGACCTGACTGGTGAAGGATTGCTAGCCAAATAAAATGCGGCCCTTCTTACATCTGCTCGTCAGTTGTTTTGTGTTAGTGCTGATTGACTGTTCCTTTTCTCATCGTGTTTATTGAAAGGCAATCATCTGTACAGATGTCTTTAATAGTTCGTGGTATACGGAACCATAGAATGGCTTGAGTTGGAAGCGACCTCAGAAATCATCTATTTCCAGTCTAAGATGACTTAATTTTTTCTTTTAGTGTATGTTTCATTGCCACAATAACAGAGGTAGAGCTTCTTATTTACCAAAATGAAACATTTTTTAAAATAAATAGAAGTCACACAAAAAAAAACAAAATGGGATTGCTGGGCAGTTGTCATAAGCAGATAGTTGGAGTTCATTTTTTAAACTGACAGTTCTAGATGTATTTACAGAGCATGAAAGGTTGCTTTAAAATAACTATTTATGGCTGGTGTGAAGAAAATGAGCACTTGCTGTTTTGGTGGTATGTGTATGCTGAGGAATCCTTCATTGAATCTTTCCTTTTTTTTTCCCCTCAGAGCTTTCGTGGATGCCCGTGTTCAGCCCATCTATGGTGGCACCAATGAGATTATGAAGGAGCTGATCGCCAGAGAAATTGTCAGTGACAACTAGGGCAGGTGCTGGCTGCATGGAGAACCTTCCCGAGCACTTTTATAGTAATACATGACATAAGATCAGACATCAGAATGTAAGTAAAGGAGACGGATGTAGTATATCGTACTCTTTCAAGGGAGAGAAGCCTGTTTAAGTGTTAGCAACGAGGGTGTTCCTAAGGAGGATTTCTAATGTTTAAATTGAAAGTTCATTAAATATATTTGGATGACTGTTCCCATGGGCTGTTCGTGAAAGGGGTATTATGGGTAACCAAATGCCATTACATTGATTGTGCCCTTTGCTGTTTGGGATTAAATCTTGCCTCCACAGAAGCCAGTTTGTGAGGGATGAGTGGGAGCAGAACGCTGGTGTGCGGGGGGAGGCCTTGTCACTGTTCATACACGGCCGCTTACTGCTGTCACCGCTGTGGGGAGGGCGAGATGCGCTTAACCTCTGTGCCTTACTGTAACCGGCGTTTTGGACACCTGTAATAAAGCGTTTCTGCGTGCTCGGCTGTGTCACTTCGCACCTCGGTGCCGGGGAGCAGCGGGGCGCCTCTGTGGGGGCGCGTCGGCGCTGCGCTCCCCGCCGGGGGCTGACTGAGGTGTCTGCAGGCGGGGGCTGCGCGGGGCCCGGCTCGGAGCCGAAAGGGCGGGAGCTTTCTTCCGCCGCTTTTCCGTCGGCGATCGCTCGGCGGGGCACGGCGCGTCCCCGTCGGCACGGCGCGGCTCGGCCGGCGCGAGGGCGCGCACGGCGGGCGGGTCGTCCCCGCAGCCCCGCCAATGGCGGCCGGCCCGGCCCCGCCCCCGGGAGCGGCAGATTGGCCGCGTCCCGCCCCTCGGCGGCGGGCAGACCCCGCCCCGGGGACGCGCCGCGCTTTAGCTGGGCGCGGACTGTTCAACCGCGGCAGTGGGAGCCGCGCCGGGCGCCGCGCCGCGCGGGGCTGGGGGCGGCGGTGCCGCCGCGGAGAAGCCGCCGGGCGGAGGCAAGCGCGGGGCGCGGCGGGGGACGGCGAACGGAACGGGGCTGGGGGGGGCGGACTGCGGCGGGGAGCGCGGCGCCGAGGCGCGGGGAGGGGGGAGAAGCCGCGGCCGGGCGGCGGTTAGTTCCCGCGGCGGTGGCGCCGGCGGGCGCGGACGCGCATGCGTGAGGAGGAGAGCGCGTGGGGGCGGGGCGGCGCGGGGGGGTAACGGTCCGTGGGCGCGGGGGGCGGGGCCGCGCGGGAGGGGCCGCGTCGCCGCCCTCAGCCCGGCCGCCCGGCGCCTCGGGGGCGGTGCCCGCGGCGCTCCGCCTCCCGCGCGGCCCGGAGCGGGAGTTTTCAGCCGCCTCGGGCGGTGGCTGAGGCGCTGGCTCGGCGGCGGCGGCGGCGAGGAGCGAAGGAGGCGATCCCGAGTGAAAAAATGTAAATACCGCGGCCGGAGCCCCGTCGCCTGTCAGGGGGCGAGCGCTTCCTCGCTGCCGCGCTCCCGGCCTGGCGGAACGCTGGGCTGCGTTCGGCGGCGCGCGGCTTCCCGTGCGGCGCTGAGCGAGGGGCGCTGCGCTGCGCTGTCACTGCGCGTCGTGGGACGCCGAGGTACGACGGCGCGAGGTCAGGTAGCGAGTCGGCAGTGCCGTGCCCTTCTCTACCGGCGGAGAAAAAACGGCTCCGTGTGGAGTTGTCAGAAATGAATGCTGACGAGTGCGTCCCTTTTGATGTTGTTTTTTGGTTTTTTTAACGATCGGAGCTGTTTGGGTGGTCTTGAACTGAGGGATCCCCCCGGCGCTGTGCGGTCCTGTGTGCTGCTGGAAGCTGAGACGTCCCACGTAATCCTGTTGGGTTTGGTGGTGGTTTTTTTTTTTTTTTTTTTTTCCTCCAGTCTATTAATAGAACCAAATGCTGAAACGCTTAAATGCTCCTCGTGAGTAACTGGGCTGCGTTTGAACTGAAAACAAAGGCTGCCTGCTGAGATGATTTCTTCTCTGGAAGAGCAGTCCCAGGTGTGCTAAATATGGATTTCTTCCCTTTTTCTTTCATGCTTCTAACCAGGACATGCCCGGTGGGACCCGTATCTCCTTTGTGGCCGTGGCTGCCAACTGCTCCATCAGCAAACGCGGGCCGTGCTATTGAGCTCTTATCTCTGTTCTCAGGAATCATTACAATCCCGTAACTTTGGTGCAGACTGGGAGAGCTGGGTAAAGTTATCCCCATGCGGCTGCCTCCTGCGGGACGTAGCTCGAAGGAGCTGCCCAAACCCAGCTCCGTGGCCTCAGCCAGCTGAGGCAGTGCCAGTCTGCCAGAGCAGCGCTTTATTTTTGTCCGGTGATAATCAGGGGCTGGCTGAGAGGAGCTGGGGCTCACAGGACGAACGGCGCTGTGCTGTGGGAAACCGGGTCTGCTGCAGGTGCCCTGTAAGGGACTTTAAATCAGCCCTCATCGGCATGAAACGCAGTAGTTTTGTACCCTCGTGGAACTCAGTTTGGGGTATTTCAGCAGATGCTGTCTCCTCCTAGTTATTTTACTTTTTGAAATCCTTACTAGAGAAGGAATAAACATTGCAAATTCATATATCCGAAATACAGCTTGTATGTTAATCTGAAATACTATTTGCAGGCAGAATAGACCCTTGGATTTGGATGCAGAAATAAAAGAAACTCTCCTTGGTGTCCAGGAATCTCATTATTAAGAACACTTCAGGTATTTGGGATGACAAAAGCCATCTTCATTTCCAATGAGAGAAGGCTGGTATAGAGCAGCCTTTGCAAACCCTCAAACAAATGTTTGTAGAAAAGAAAAGACCACAAAAAAAAGCAGCCACAAGTCAAACCAACCCTCCTACCAAGCAGAAATCCCCCCCAAAATTGTCTGCAGCATTGTGTAGCCAAGGTGGTGGTGGTGTGAAGAGGGGAAAGAGTGAGAAAGCAAGAGGACCATAAACAAAATTGTCAGTCTGCAGACTGGGGAAGGAATACCAGTCCTGTTTCTTAACAGAGTGCTCCTGATCGCCTGCATGAAGGCACTAGTTTCAGGATTCAGACAGATGCCAGTGATGGGTAGAGAAGGTTAGAGCTGCAGAATGCTGCGTGAAGATAGAAATAAGCAGAGCAGCAGTAGAAAAGCAAGGGTAGCTGCAGGATTAGGGGCTGGAAGTTATGTTTAGTGGTGAGAGAAGGCAGCAGGGTGTGGGTCGGGGCAAACTGCAATCCCTGGCTATATCCTGCTGGGTAATTAAGGCATTAGGGAGGATAAGCATAAAGGCACTTTGAACATCAGTCGCTATCCTGTGCGTGTCTGGTGCTTGTTTCTTCCCTTCCCCGGTTCCTATTTTACGTCAGCTTTTCTTTTTACAGTACTTTCTAGTCTTCCAAGTGAAATATGCATTACACGGATGAAAAGCAAAACATTTGCCAGTTTCAAAATCAGAACAGCAGAAATGCAAGTAGAACACAGTGGAAAAAATCCTTGAAATAATTTACCTGTGTCAGAAAAAAGTTGTCCAGAATGAAAAACAAGCTTTTTCTAAAGACCAAAGGCTACTTGTCATCCATACCCTTCCTTTTTTTCTTTTTTCTTTTTTCCCTCCAGAAGATAACAGGTCTGGCTTTGGAAACACACTTCCAATAAGGGTGGAGTGAAATTATTTTTGCTGCTTTCTGCCAAAATGAAATAAAGTGCGTCAGCATAAAAATTGTACCATTTCTGTGGAGCCAAGCACTGCACTCTACCATGTTTTTTTTTTTTTTTTTTTTTTTTTTTGCAGCTCATACTTTGTAAAGTCTTTTTGATGTCACTGAGATGAGAGGAACACACCTGAAGCATCTCTGAAGTGTCTCACACGGCTTCCTTGGGGCACAGCCACTGTGTGAAGTTAGCAAGTTATTGGATGAGGGGCTAGCTGCGAGATTTTTCTCTTTGAAAGCATTTCTCTTTACTTTTTAGCTGTATTGTAGCATAAAGCCTTTTGTCAGGTGGCTTGACTGGTGCTCTTTAGTTTAATGGTAGTGGTTTGATTTGAAGGTACTTTGATTTTTCCTTTTCTTTCTGTCTTTCCCTGAAAAGGGGAAAAAGGTCCTAAACAAAATTAGAATAACTTGCTAATGGCATTTGTTGTGATTTTGGAAATTTCAAGCTGTTCCGAAAGGGGATGAAGTCCTCAAAGGGAATGTTATATTGTGCTGAATAGCCTCTACCTTTTCATAGGTATGAAATAAGTGTGTCCAATGTAACTCCTCATTTGCGTGGGGAGCATTGGTCCCATGTGTGGACATGTCCTGGTTTTCCGGAGCAGCAGTCTGTCATTCTTACAGCACTGGGTCTCACTGCTAGGTAGGATGAGAGTGAAAATGCTGAGGTTTTTAGTACTGTTGTTTAGGATTAGCGTGAGGACTGCTGAATTCGGTCGCTGTGATGCTGGGTAGGCACTGTACAGAGATGAGAACCTAACAGGTGAGTATACACAGAGCACAGAAAGCTGAGTACACTTCACAGAGAGTGCTAAAGCAGAAGCAGATTTGTGGTTCTTGATTTTTGTAGTGGTCTGAGGGTTAAGGAGAAAGTATTCAGACCGGTACTTCTCAGCTCGTTATGTCAGCCTTTGATGTTTGCACCTTCAGTGTAAAGGCTGTAGTTACAAACCTTTGCGCAGGGAGGTTGCTTCAGTTCCATACAGAGACATCTTGGAAACATGGACCCTATATGGGATCTGTGTTGGAAATTACTGAGGTAGACAGCTGCTGTGAAGATTAAAGAAACTGAAGATTTGAGAAGGACAATGGAAAAACTTGGAGTTTAGTTTTTAAAGCACTGGACTTGAGTAGTTCCTGAAGTGTTTTTTGTGAGTCAAACGTAATTATTAAATCAAATGCACATTATAACAAAATCTTACCACAGTTCTGGGGTGGAAAATTGTAGAAGTGTGTTATTATGTGTGTGTATCTGCGTACACGTGCACACATATTTTAGAATGTGTCCTTCTAGTCAGAGGGCTTGTGGTCTTGTTTTTAGTGAGGCAAGGTTAGATGACAGTTTTGAATGCCGACAGGTTATTTCTCAGACTGATCATAGAATCATAAAATGGCTTGGATTGAAAAGGATCACAGTTCTCATCTAGTTCCAACCCCCTGCTATGTGCAGGGTCACCAACCAGCAGATCAGGCTGGCCTTGAATGCCTCCAGGGATGGGGCATCCACAACCTCCTTGGGCAACCTGTTCCAATGCCTCACCACCCTCTGTGTGGAAAACTTCCTCCTAATATCCAACCTAAACCTCCCCTGTCTCAGTTTAAAACCATTCCCCCTTGTCCTATCACTATTCACCCTCGTAAATAGCCATTCCCTCTCCTGTTCATATGCTCCATTCAAGTTTTTGAAGGCGACAATGAGGTCTCCCCGGAGCCTTCTCTTCTCCAAGCTAAACAAGCCCGGTTCCCTGAACCTTTCCTTTCTGATAGGATCAGAAATTCATTGAGGTCTGAACGCTTACTCCCCTGAGAGGTGAATGCTTTCATTGCACGTGGAACAACTTCTGTATGA